AAGGGATTGCTGGAACTTTTTAGAACTTAGAAAAAAGTCCTAAAGTTTGCAATTCTCACCATGTCCTGAGACTATTTCTCCAGTCAATAACACTCTATTTTAGACAAACTTTCTTTTGGTTAGCCTCTTATCAAAAACTTTTGACAATTAGAACTTTTCTTTCTCCTTCTCCAGGCCAGACTCCAAACATCTAGGAATGAAAAACGCCCATAGGCGTTAAGTGTCCTGAACATTCTTATGGATTTGGGTAAACATACTTCCTTTCATCTGGTGGGAATGCAACTATTTAAGTTTTTCAAGGCTTTATTGCAATTTATTCTTTAGCTTGATGATTATTAGGTTAATTCTTCAATCTAAGTTACTTTGTGAGTGCTGTTAACCATATAACACAGAGGCTATATTTAAGGGGAATTATTTCATAGGGTTTTACTCTTCAAAGGAAACAATCTAGTCTTGCCTATGATATAAACTCTGGATTTGTATTTCAATCACGTATGCACATTTTCAATCATTGTAGTAGAGTTATTAATTATACCACACATGTGTATCCTTGATATATATTGGATTGACAAGTATAAAAGTTGCTATTACCTGTGTACTTAAATGTGTTTTTTTTTTAAATGGAGAAAAAATTAAAATATTTAAATGAAAAAATAAAAAAAGTTTAATTGACAAAGGAGAGCATTTCTACATAGAAATTCAGATTCTTATCTATTGTTATACATATTTTACTGAAATACGTTGTTTACATTGCTTGGTAGCATGGTTCATGTATGTTTTTAGTTTTAACAAGAAAATTGAAGAATTGACATTGAATTCAAAGATAATTTTAATATTACTGTTTTTGATATTTACTGAGGCTTAATGAATTTGATAGGAGTTCCAATGAAGAAATAATTTTCCATACAGGGTTAGGTTATTTTTATTTCTAAATAAGTAATTACAGTGTGGGGATGATTTCCTATATGTTTGCACACAAACCATTGTTTTGGAATAGAGTTTGTTCAATTATCTAAAATACAATCAGAATATGAAACTCAGAACTCCTTAATATAGGGGTTAGGTACGATGCTTTGGAGGTCAGCTCTCTAGGCCTGATGTCCCCTTGCTCTTGCCATTTCGTTGGTTGTAAAATGGAGATAACAATAGTATCTACCTGAAAGGTTAATGTGAGGATTCTGTTGATTGGTACATATAAAGTCCTTAGATTAATGCCTGGCACATTAGAGGTAGTCAGTAAATATTTACTAGAATTATGTCCTTTATTTTTTTCCTTCTCCCCTATACTAGCCATTACCACAAACAAGAAGATCATGAGTATGAATATTAATATCCAAGTGAAATAGTCAATAGTAGATGAAATGAAAAATAGCAACCACCCAGTTTGTAGAACTTAATCTGTTCTTCGATGATTTTTGCTGCTTGTCCAAAAGAGAGTTAAGGAATTAAAAATAGGATTTATAGCAATTTATGGGAAATCTGGCAACATTTGGAGGGATTGTTTTGTTTCTTTTGAAGAAAGAAGGCTCTGGAGCAATCTTGCACTCTCCATGCCATTTCTTCATATTGCTGTTGGAAAAGGTGATCCAGGCTAGAGAAATCTAGACAGGTAATTTGGAAAACAATATTTAACTTCCTCAGTGATAACCAGGAATCTTTTGAATTTTGTTTGGATGTTACATGAATAAGTACAATATTACTATCTTAATTTCTGGTTGATCAACAATATTTACTGGTAATTTTTGCCAAATGGTTTCCTTTGTGTTCCCCAGTTACAGTCAACCATCACTTATTGAGATTGATAAGTGGAAGTCCAGGCTGCAAAGTACTCCATAGTAAATTTTTATATAACGGAAGAATTACTTTTATATAAAAGAGGAACTATAGAAAGCTGCATGAAATAATTATTACAAAATAAAGTTTGTGATAAAATCTTCTTAAATGAAGAGATACATTTTAGTTCACTAAAAATTGATGCTTCTCAAATACTTGAGAAGATTTGCAAATAATTGACTTGGTAAAGGAGTTCATTCTCTTTGTAAACCATGCTTGCTGTATTTGACCCTTTTTGGAAAATGATTGGTGCAAAGGGAAATGTCATAAGATTTAATAAGATTTTACCATCTAGCCCTTTCTATTTGTTTCCAAAGGGCCGTAGACATCCACTGATTTCACCTTTAACTGTTTTCACAAGGGGACTTATTATGACCTAGTCATAGAAAATATATAGGGGTCAAGTAAGTGAAAAAAAACAAAACAAAACAAAAAAAACACCAAAAAACCTGTTACCCTGTGAATGTATCTTCCAGGAAGGCAATAAATGACTACATGAAAGACCAGTCACACTGAGTAACAGCTGAATCACAGAGAGTCAACTCCAACTTCTACCACATACTGTAACCTTGGGCAAATGCCTTAAGGTCTGTAAGCCTCAGTTTACTTATGTATGAAATAATTATGACACTAAAGCATTTACATCATTGCGTTTTTGTGGGGATTAAATAATGTAACACAGACAGAGAAATAAATAATACAATGCATACAATTGTGCTTAGAGGTGTCTTACAGGGTGATTTCATTAATTTCCAACACGTAATTGTTGCTGATGATAGCCAAAGGCTCTGACCTTTTCTTCTAGAACCATGTGTCTCACTCCTACTTACCACTTCATTTGAGTATCTCAAAAACACTTCAAATTTAACATGTCCAATTGGGATGCTTCAGTTTTACCTCTCAAAACCCTGTTCATTACTTCCTCTATCTTTCCCATCTCAGTAAATGTGTTAGTCCTTTTTTGTGGATATGTGTAGAACTTTCTATTCGACCTATTTCATCTTTTGCTGTGGCGTAGTAAACTGTCATCCTGTGAGTAACCTGTGGAGAGGCCCATGTGATAAGAAACCAAAGCCTCTGGCCAATAGCCACAAACCGAGGCCTTCCAACAAACACGTGACTCAGCCAGGAAACAAATTCTGCAGCCTCATTTGACCCCTGACCTGGCTTCCCACCCAGCTAATAGCTTGATTGCAGATTCATGAGAGACCCTCAACCAGGAAAACAAGCTAAGTGGCTTTTGAATTTCTGACTTCCAGAAATTGTGTGAGATTTGTTGTTTTAACTGTCTAATTTTTGGAGAAATGTGTTATAAAGTGATAAATTACTAATGCAGATTTTGGCACCTGGAGGTGAAGTGCATTGAAGCTGCACAGTGGGTTTTGAGGAGAGTGTTAGGCTTCTAGTACTCGAAGAAGATGTGTCTGGAAACCTTATAGTCTTCAAGAAATGGGATGAGGGCTTTCAAGAAAGTGAGGAAAATAACATTGGGAAATGGAGGAGAGGAAATTTTTTTTGTGGAGTGTCAGAGTGTTTAGCAACACTGCTGTTTGCAGTTATGTGAAAAGCAGAAAATGTGCTTTATAACCTGGATGACCTAGCTAAAGAGATCCCTGATCACAGAATCTCAAGTATTGCCTGGTTTCTTTTTGGTGTTTATAGCAAAATGTGAGAGAAGAGAGAGAAACTGAAGAAAGGACTGATAAAATGAGTCATGACTTTATAGTTTTAAGAATTCTCAGCCTCCCAAGATAGCAAACAATGCCCAAAGGAAGAAGTGGCTTCTGAGCAAAGATCGCATGCCAGGAAAATATGATTCACGGATGAAGCTAAGAGCACACTGTCAAATCTTTTAAGACCTCAGAAATATCAAAGGTAGTGCCTCAGAATTGTATTCATTGAGACTCAAGGCATTCTACAGAGATGAAGGGTTGCCTCACAGTTCCTCTCAATCAAGCAGTAGGATTTCTAGGGAGCTTAAAGGCATTGCCCTTCATCCTGTTGGTGGGAGCCCTAAGACTTGTCTTCTTTTGAAAAGGTGTATAAATTTGTCTTTTGTCTAATATAGTAGACTTCAATAAGATTCATAGGAGACCCACAAAGTTTTTAAAAGAATTATACAAGCAGAAAAATCACCTATTTGGACTAAAAGGGACACAGAGAAAACAAGATGAAAAGAGGTCTTTGGACCTTTAAATTTTATGGCAGAAAGCAGATTAAGAAAATGACTTAGCTTCCAAGATGTGCTACCTTTCATGAAAAAAGGAAGATTCAGATGACAGAACCAAGAGTACAGAAGGTAGAGGCAAGAGCTGTGGAGAATTATTCTCAGGACTTGAGACTTCATTAAATAACCTTTGACATTTCCTTGTCTGGATTTCATAACTGCTATGAAACAGTGATCTTGGTCTCCTGTTATTCACACCTTTGTATCGCTCCCTCTTATGTTGAACCAGCATTGATCTGTGTGACCAAAGCACACAGCAGAAGTCATGGTGTGTCATTTTGACATTAGGTTATTGAAGACTGCTGCTTCCATGTTGAGTGCATGCTGTCTCTCTCTGTACTCCCACCCCCATCATTCACCTTCACTGAAAATGTTGATATGTGCTTGTATGTAACCCTACAGGATTATTATTAATAGTATTATTAATAGTTTTATATTATAGTTTGCATAGTGCAAGTTCATGCCTGTTATCCTAGCATACATAATTGTTTCTCCCCCTTTCCCTCAAATGCCATGGATTGAATAATAAATTACATGAATAAAATTCTTATTAACATCTCTAGCATCTTACACATCTAGCCATATGTTCATTTAGATGATCTAGAACCACACCACTGTGGGACGTGTGTGTGAATGTGAGAAAGAGAGGAAAATAAAAATAGGAAAAGACAGAGAAAGCTGTCCTGGTATTTATCCTATTTATTTTATGCTGTTTACTATACCCTTTGCCTTTCTGGCTGAAAAGTAACTAGGTAAGTAAGAAAAATCAGATACTATAGTAAGGTGATTGTTAAAAGTATAATTCTCATGTTCTTATTTGTCTCTGGGAAGCTTAATCTTGAGGGTCAGCATAGCTGGTATCAGAAAATCCAACTTTTACATAGATGTTTCAAGTGTGTTTTGAATCCATTTAATTTTATATCTATTTTATTTCACGCAGGATTTGAAATTCGGAGGGGAAGGACTCAACGAATACATTCCTATGTCACTTTTAAAGACTGGCAAAACATTTGAGAAGTATGTCCCTTAATGTTAGATTTAATGCATTTTATTTATTTTGCACACATGTTTTGCTACTGATTAAGTATGGGCCAATTATAGATGATAGAGACCTCCTAGTTCACCTCACCCGAAGGGTCAGGTTTCTGAGAAGCATGACCCCATTTCATCCTGGGATACATCTGGGCCCAGTCATCCATATGTTTTTGGGGAATGGAGCATTATAGGAATGGTAATATAGCTGGGAGTCATATCTTATTTATCTCCTAGAAAATATCAAAATCCTTGGTTCAGTGTGGGAACTTTTCAGGTCTGGATATGGCAGCCACCCCTCCTCCATTCATGTATAGAAGACGCAGAAGCAGCAGGTTGCAGGGTGAGGGACAGTTCTCAAGTTGGACGGTCTCACTTTGAATCTGAGCTTCTACCCTTATGATAGTCAAAAGAAGGCAGTCAGCATCCCTCAGCATCCGTTTCTCATCAGTTAATCAGAAATAAGAATACCGTATCGGATTATTTTAAGGATTAAATAAGATAAGAAATACGATGTATTTGAGAGAGTGCCTTGAGCATGCAGGATTTAATAAATACTAGTTAGTATTGTATACCAGTGGGCCTCAGCAGGGATCAGTGTTGCCCCCAGGGAACATTGGGTGATGTCTGGAGTCATTTTTGATTGTTAGGACTTGGACTGGAGAGATGTTAGTGGGATCTAGTCAGTAGAGACCAGGAATCCTGCTGAGCATTCTGCAGTGTGCCAGATAGTCCTGCAACAAAAAGTTATCTGATTCACAATGTCCATAGTGCCAGGTTGGAAGTACATTAGTGCTGTTTACTCATAGACATTTTCTTGAACTTCTAACCCTAGCAGCAGTGCAAATAAGATATCACCTGGAATTGGACCTGTCTCCCTGTGAGGACTATCTAATGTCTCAGAAAACAGGCTGTGCAGAGAGGGTCACTAAGGCATCACTCCAATGATTAGGTAGCTCAAGGCAGAGATGAGTGAGATGGAGAACAGCATGCCTCCTATGCCGAGCATTTCCAGTGATAGAACTTGATACTAAGATACCTACAAGACTATATGTGACAGAATTCATTAGAGGCTAACGTTCAATAGTGAAAATAGGAACTAATCTAAATATCCAATGATAAGAGATCATTTAAATAAATTATGGTAGACACCTAGAATACTAGATAATACCTAAAAATTATATGTTAGCAAAAAAAATAATAATAATACTCTCATGGCAAATGCCCATGACATACAAAGCAAAAAATACAAGTTAAAATATAGTATTATTTATAGCATCAATCTCGTTATGTAAAGAAAAAATTTTTCAAAAATGTGCCTTGCTACTCAGCTATAAAGAATAGAAGCCAGTATTTTTCCAGTGGTTATTTCTGGGCTGTAGGTTAATGGGTGATTTTTGTGTGTGTGTGGGTGGTGGTGGTGTTTTTCAGTATAATTAAAACATTTTGAAATAATGCACAAACACATACACAGTTATAAAATTAAGATATGCTCTAGAAGAGAGAAAACAAGAATAATAACATGCCTTAGGACCTAATGCAAAAGTGAACTGATGCCTAGATGTGGTTCCTCACCTAGAATATGGCTGCTCCAAGGGGACACACATCCCTAGACTTGTCTCCGGGTACCTGGTATCAGGTTACAGCTGTGACTTAACCTTTCAAAGTGCATTGTGCCCCTTTTTCACTATAAGGGAGGTATTTTTAGAAAATCTTTAATTACAAAGAACTGAGATTCTAACCAGGGACTGTGTTTTTTCTTTTTATCTTTAGGATTATAATCGTGAATTTAGTGTCTAATTATTTAGATTAAGTGTTTAGAACGTTTCCAAGTGCTTTACAATTCTTGCTAAGGGAACAAAGAAAGAAACTGAGGAAATCATCTCACTGTGGTTAACATAAAATGTTTGATGTCTACTAATGAAATCTGTTTACCTTCATAACTGTATACTAGGGCCATTAAAGACAATAGATACAGTAGTTTAAAAGTAATAAAATTTACAACAAAGTGTATTTAATTTGAAATTGAATTGCCAGCAAATGGGTGTCCTAATGAACCCTTGTGTCAGTGTTAGCTCTAACCAAATTAAGGGAAATCATTTGTATCACAGGCAACTAAATCAGCAATAAGACCCAAAAAGGCTATTCCTCTGCTGAGGGTACAGTCGTTGTCACAGATGGCCCTGCTGATGGAATTAAGCTTAAGTCAGGAGACGTGAGATGCGGATCCTTCTTAATTCAAATGAATTTGGGAAGGCAGAAGAACCCTCTCAGGATGGGAGGAGCTGAAAACAGCAACAGAAAGGAGTCAACAATAAAGAAGAACCTCAAGATACAGTCAGTAAATGTTAATAGGAGGAAAAAAGCCTAGGGAACATTTCGAGAGTCGAAATAGATCTCGATCTCTAACCACTGCATTAAGAAAAGAAAAACTTTATGTTATATCAGCCCAGCATCTATATAATGGATTTTTTTTTTCCTCAAAGTTTCGCTAACAGTCTGTTGAATGTAGAGAGGATAGGAAACGAAGTGGCAAAAAGTCTTATCAAATATTGGATCTTCTGATGATTTCAGAAGCAAGTGACATCTTGGGAGATCAGCGGCCGACGCAGGGAGTCTTATGTTTTATAGGGCCACATCTCTTAAAAGCCAGTCACCTCCTGTAGGGCCACACCTCAGAAGCCACTCGCCTCCTCAACTTGAATCAAGTGCAGCACCTGTAATGTGGTGTTTACCTACTTTCTAGTTAATCTGACAAAATGTTTAAGGAAAACATCAAACTGTGTTGTGAGTCTAAAGGCAAACTTTTTTGTTACACTCCATTGTCAATTTCTCTTTCTTTTATCTGCCTTCTTTATTTTAACTGCTGCAGATTTCCAAGTCAACCATTCATTGCAGACCTAAATATTGGTAAAAAGGACAGTGCAGCCCAGCTTGGTACCCTCACAGAAGTAACTAATGACTCAAAGGGAGCAGCAGGACCCCGCTGGAAGGTGAGGCTCTTGCCACTGACTTTTTTTCTGATGCAAAATGTTAAATGATGAGATCAATTGTATTGACCCAGCTGCCTGCTGTGCTTTTTCTCCTGTAGGACTCTTTACAGAAACTTTAGCAGGTCTTAATAAATATATATATATATATGTATTAGAGAATTCAATGCTGAAATAGAATGGCCAAAAACTCTCGACAAAGCTACTAAAATTCCTCAAAACAGGTTGTCAGTAAGGCCAGGCTCTGTCCCACCAGACAATGAGGCAGGCCTGCCACCATGCAAATGAGACGAGGCTTGAGATTTGATGAATCTTCTATCTGCTTTCCCTACTTGGCTGACACTCGCTTTGAGGAAGGTTGTAAATGCAAGAGAGATTGTGGTATAATTCCTCAGACTGGCATTTCTGCCCCCTAGTCACCATTCGATTATCTTCCAAATTGCTGTGTTTCAGAGAGATAAAGATTTTTTATGGCTTGCTGACTTGAAACAACCACAAGAACTAGCAAAGAGATGGCTAAGCGGCCATGCATAGTAATTCCACTGGTAAATGACAAAATCTTTGTTTGTATGACATTTCCAAAATTACTACAGAAGATGAATCTGAAATACAAAATGTCACATTTGGCATGCAAAACTATCACAATATATTTCAGTATAAAATTCATAGAGGCGTTTAATTTAGAATGTGTTTAATAACTCACTCTGCCTGCATCAGTAATCCTGCCTTGAGGTTTAAAAAGATTGTCTTATTTATTCACATGGTGTTAATTTTTAAAATATTTTTGGAAACCAAAATATTAAGGTTAAGTCTTTATTGTTAATTAAGATTTTCTAATTAAGCCCAAAATAATTGTTATTCAGATTAGTTTTTAAGTATGATTTGTGTGGAAAAAAAAAAAAAAAAACAAAGAAAGCTGAACAAGTTTCACTGTTTATTTAACTGTAATTTAATTCCAGAAGCGTACTATCTATATGGAAATACATATTATCTCTCACAAACTAAAGTCTAGGCAGGATTTTAAAGTGCTTACTGTTGGCTGCAGATTAACTGGTGGTGCTACTAACTTGGGTTGCCAAGAGGGTAGTAACTTGCTTCCAAAAAGGACATTATTTTTGCTTAAAGTACGAAATAACAGGATCCTTTGAAGTCAGATAATCCCGAAAAATATTAGGGACTTGTAAGTACAGAAAACATGACTTCACTACATTTGAGTTATTATTAATAATAATCATAGTTTAGTTTTTGTTTATTCGGAAAAAAATAGTCCACTAAAACTCTTATCAGTGTGTACAAACTTCTCAGCACTTATTAAAAATGAAAATGGCTTGCTTCTCTCGGCTGTAGGTGAAAAATGACATTCAAATGCCCTGTAAAATATTCTTGAGTCGTGTCTCTCAGTCATACACAATTCATGCTAAATTTCAGGAAAGAGCACGTACAGATACTATCCCACCAGTCCTTCCCCTCTGCCATTTTTGACTCTCCTTTGAAGCCTGTGAGGCAAGTTGACATCATGTTGAGACTCTGGAAGTATCACGTCAGGTGGGGCGTTAGTCTGACCTGTTTTGCACTCTGCTTATCAACCTGGCATCATGGTCAGTGGTTCGTGTTAAAGTCAGGACTGTCACCTTTCAAACTCCAAATTTGAAGCTTACTGCCCATGTTCACCCACCCTAGATATCTTAGAAGGCATGTTGTGTGGTTTTTAGAAGTGTTGGTTTCCTGTTAATTCTATCTTACTATAATAAATGAATGGTTTCTGATGTCACAGATCATTAACATACCATGCTGAAAAAATGACTAAACTTTCCCTCCCATTAATGGCAGGTTTGCCTTTTGACCCCCTAATTATATATCTTGTGTCCTCATCTGTTATCATGGCTAATACCCGACAATTACAGGTTGGATAAAAATGATTGTCTACCTTTTTCCCCCCTGAGAAGCCCATTGTTGCTAATTGTGTGGTTTCACCCAGTTCCTGCGTAATTCAAGAACCCCACGTTTTGTGGAGAATGAGCAGCCTCAACCACCTCAGCCTCTGCAAATCTGGATCAGATGCCTGAGGGGCTTTAAAGACAAGGCTCCTCCAGGCTCTTATGTCCTCAAAGTCTCCCTGCTTGGTCGACTGGGAGGCTGTGTCTTGCAGTGGCGGCAAACGGAGCAACTGAAGACCAGAACACGCCCCGTCAGGCACAATGGAAACTTTTATGACGTGGGGCTGTATTTCCATGAAAATCTTTATGTGGTAAGTAGCCTGTCTACATCTATTCTTTTTACTCAGCTTCTCCACTCTTCTTATCTATCTCCACCTTCATCTTTGTTCATGTCACTTTAGATAAAACACTTTGTGTAATAAACATAAAGGATTTAATGCATGCCTACATTCATTCATTCATTCATTCAGCAAATTCCCAGTAATCACCCACTATGTGCCAAGCATTGTGTGGGCCATAGGTAGACACCCTAAATCCTGTGTAAAATGGAAAGCCCATTTTTATATATCGAGAACATAGTTTATGGCTTCTTGGTATAATTTTCCCCCTTTTCAGATTGTGCAAGCTGAGAGATCACTGATGTGTACATTGTAAGTAATGCATGTGCATGAGTGGAGGAAGTGAGGGTCACTGATTTGAGGTGAGAACCAGATTGTAGGTCAGAAGATCGTTGGTGGGACTGTTCAGGAAGTATATGATGGATATAGGGGAGTGTGTTTACCATGCAAAGGAATTGTAGAGGAAACGGTACTAGGAAAGGAAGCGATGGGTATGATTAGAAAGTGATCCTGGATTCAGGGATTAAAACAGGGGTGGTGGGAAGTGTTAGGGGTGGGTCAGAGAGCATCAAGTTACCTGGAGAAACGGGGAGGGGATTCTTTGGGATGTCAGACTGGACAGACTGTGCCTCCCAGGGAACTCCAGCCCAAGAGAAAATGAAGAAGGGGGGTTCATCTCATGCAGATGGCTTGGATGCTAGGCAGGGCACAGACTGTTCACAAATTTAGAATTGCCTTTTATACTATTAACATCAATTTCTTAAAAAAATATGAGAATCAAGTGATATTTAAGAAGAAAATAATTTTTCTTTAAAATAGGAGTGTACTTTCTTTCCTCATTTTCCCTTAGGTCTTCTGTTAAAAGATATTCTTTTCATTAATTTTATTTTGTGGTATTTCACTAAGGGTGATAATATGTTCTTTACATGAACATATTTTTCAGACAATGTATTGTGTTTATTCTGGCTACTGAATAACCACATAAAAAAGTTTAAGTGAAAAATGAGGCTGTAAAAATGAACAATTTTGTAAAGGTCTATAAACAACAAACTTATGCTGCCATTATTTACTTCCAATGTGTGAGAAACTAACAGATTTCAACTCTCATTTCTCACCACCTCGGCTTTTTAGGTATCTAAAACCCTTGAGGACAGTGGCTACTACTTTTTCTTTTTTTTAAACTGAGCAGCAGCTTCCTAGTGAATTGTAGGAAATGGAAAAAGTATATAATGTCCATAGAAGCCACTCCATTGAATAAGTAAGTGTGAAGTCCCAGATGACCACTTTGTTGTTTAGAAGTTGATAGGGGTTAGAAACAGCAATCAAAACAAACAAACAGAAAGGCCAGATGCTGTGTAGACATTTAGTGAATGTTGCAGCTCTGGGGGAGGAAAAGATCTCTTTCCAGACCCACCACGGGAGGCATGGCTCAGGTCCCTGTAACAAAAGACAGACTAACAAGAGAAAAGCATACACATTTTGTAATATAAGTTTTATATATATTTTGTAATATAAGTTTTATATATATTTAAAGACACGGGAGCCTTTATAAACGAAGATCCAAAGAGTAGATAAGCTTGTGTATTTTTATACTTAGGTTTGATGAAGAGTGGACAGTCACGGTGAAATACGATTCGAGGACAAAAAAGTATGATGTAATGGTAATAAACTGGGGGAACTTAGCAAGGGCTATTTGTTCAGATCCTTCTTGGACTGTCTGTGTTCAGTTTCTTTCCTCTGGTTGTGGGAAGGGTACTGCTCACATGAGGATCTTATGAGCTACTTCTGGGGAGAAGTGTGAGGGGAATGAACTTTCTAGGTTTTATGGCTTGCCTCAAGGAAGAGCAGTGAGGAGAAGGTGAGAGTGGCTTTCCTGCTTAATATTTTGGGCTAGCAGATCTTGAATCTTATCACAGTTTAACCCTAATCCATATCCACTTCAACTTTCAGACAGTTTGGAGAACTGGTAGGGACGCCAGCCCTCTCTTTGAAATGGGCATTAAAACTCTTTCTGGAAAAGAATTCTTCTTAAAGGAAAAGAGATCTCTGACAGGATTCACCCAGAAACTAGGCAAGCCTCAGCTGGCTTATCTGCAAAATGGGTATAACAATGCCTGCCTATTAGAGGCATGTGAAAAATGACTGAGCTGACACTTGCAGAAATTCACAACGTCAATACACAGTAAGAATTCAGAAGCTTCTTGAATTATTATCGTTATAATTATGATGTCTCTTTGTTAGTGTTGCCTAAAAATTCTTACCTGTTGGAATTTTTCTTAAATTAATATGATAAATGTGTATATTCCAAATAACCTTTTTTCTCTTTTATTTAAGGTTCAGGGGTACGTGGGGAGGTTTGTTATACAGGTAAATGTATATCATGGGAGTTTGATATACAGATTATTTTATGACCCATATACTAAGCATAACTAAGGTATTTTTTCCTTGTCTTCTCCCTCCTCCCACCCTCCACCCTCAAGAAAGCCCCAGTGTCTGTAGTTCCCCTGTTTGTCAACATGTGTTCTTGTTTTTTAACTTTCACTTATAAATGAGAGCATGTGGTATTTGGTTTTCTGTTCCTGCCGTTAGTTTACATAGGATAATGGCCTCTATCTCCATCTATGTTGCTGCAAAGGACATGGTCTCATTCTTTTCTATGACTGCATAGTATTTCATGGTGTATGTACCACATTTTCTTTTTTTAAATTTTACTTTATGTTCTAGGGTACATGTGCTCAATGTGCAGGTTTGTCACATATGTATACATGTGCCATGTTGGTGTGTTGCACCCATTAACTCGTCATTTACATTAGGTATATCTCCTAATGCTATCCATCCCCCACCCCACAACTGGCCCCGGTGTGCGATGTTCCCCTTCCTGTGTCCAAGTGTTCTCATTGTTCAATTTCCACCTATGAGTGAGAACATGCGTGTACCACATTTTCTTTATCCAATCTGCTATTGATGGGTATTTAGGTTGATTCCAAGTCTTTGCTATTGTGAAGAGTGGTGCAGTAAATATACATGTGCATGTGTGTTTATGGTAGAATGACTTATATTCCTTTGGGTATATGCCCAATAATGGGACTGCTGGGTTGAATGGTAATTCTGATTTCAATACTTTGAGGAATTGCCACACTGCTTTCCACAGAGGCTGAACAAATTTACATTCCCACTAACAGTATATAAGCATTTACATTCTCTGTAACCTTGCCAGCATCACATAACCTTCAAATTAAACTTTTGTTGAGAACAATATAGATTATTAATTGTTTTCTTCAACAAGAAATCCTAAAGACCTTGTTAAGAATACTGGAGTATAGGTGAGGTTTGTTAGTCTCGGTTGTGTAGATGATTTTTCCCCTGGGGAGCCCACTTACTGTCAGAACCAGAATCTGAGGACAGGTACCACAAAGGCATCGGGTATCGGTCAGCCCCTGAACTGAGGACTTGGTCCTCACCATTGATCTCAAAGAAATTTCAGAAATGAGGCGATAGCTAAGAATTTTCATTAACAAATTTCTAGAAAGAGCCCAATCAGCCTAATGGGCAGTTACATTATTTTAGTGCATTTTAATCAAGTACCTAATATTTTTAAGTATGGAGCTGGGCTGCAAAAAATGTCATTCAAAGAGCTTGCTTTTGAGAGCCATCTGCATAAATAACTATTTATATCAAAAGGCAATATAGAATGTTTTTATTATTGTTATCATTTGTTTAGATGTCCATTCTATAGGCCCATTAGAGTGCAAGCCACATCTATTAATATGTTTGGTAGGTAGAAGACATTCCACATGAGCTGTTGAATGATTGTAACAGGGTACACTACAGATAAAATGCCAGAAGGGATCAGAGGATTAAGAAGTGCATCACGGACATCTTCAGGGAGAGAAGATAGTACCGCTAAGACATTGAGGTTGCAAAATGTTCGAAAACCTCGAAGTAGAACTACCATTTGACCCAGGAATCCCATTACTGGGTATATACCCAAAAGATACATGCACATGCATGTCCACTGCAGCACTATTCACAATAGCAAAGACATGGAATCAGCCTAAATGCCCATCAATGGTAGACTGGATAAAGAAAATGTGGTACATATACACTATGGAATACTATGCAGCCATAAAAAGGAACAAGATCATGTCTTTTACAGGGACATGGATCTAGCTGAAAGCCATTATCCTTAGCAAACTAACGGTGGAACAGAAAGCCAAACACCGCATGTTCTCACTTATAAGTGGGAGCTGAATGATGAGAACACATAGGCACACTGTGAGGAACAATACACACTGGGGCCTGTCTGGGGTGCGGGGAGAAGGAGAGCACCAGGAGGAATAGCTAACATAGACTGGGTTTAATACCTAGGTGATAGGTTGATCTGTGCAGCAAACCACCATGGTACATGTTTACCTATGTAACAAACCTGTACATCCTGCACATGTACTCCGGAACTTAAAATGAAAGTTGAAAAAAATGTTCCTAGTATTAAAAACTGCATCAAGTCTGTAGGGAAAAGTGAAGGCTGGCAATCGTTCCAATAATAAAATGTGTTTTCCCTTCCTGCCAAACAGAAGAGAAAGTATCTTGGACTAGTTGAAATAGCAACCCCCAATTTTTTTCCCCTGTGTCAGAACCAAACAAACAAACAAAAAATAATTACCTCCTGCCACAGTCAAGGAAAATTTACTCTTTAACAGCCTGACAAAATGTCACTGAATTACATCCATCCCTTGGTATCACCTAGCAAAATCCTGGATCCCCAAAGAAATACACTAGGCTATTTCACATTCAGTGTATGTAAGAAAAGTACAAAATTCAGGGTGAAAACAAAAACGAGAAAAGCACCAAAACATCCAGAACTTGACAGGAAAGAGAAGTCAACTGAGGCTTTTTGCTTTCAGAATAAAAATGCTGTTGCTCAAAGTCCTACTCATTCCAATGGGCTCTACCCAATAACATCAAGTTTTTTC